CGATTTCTCGCTGTCCGATTCACCATTTCCTTGGATCTCGCTCTCCCTATATTCCGGTATAACAATTCCCCTTCAGGCTCAATCGTTTTCTCCGTTATGAGTTCCAATACGGCGTCGTCCAGCGCGACGACTGCCGGATCGGGAGATGCTTCCGCCGTCAGGAAGAATTCCAAGCGACCCAAGTGTATTTATCCTCTTCCCCCTGTTGCGATCTTCTTTATTCATCATCTGGCTTCTCGTTGACTCTTTGGGTTTTGTTTCCCTTCCCGAGATTTATATTCATCCTTTAATTTGCGTTTCTAGGTCACTTTTTTTCTCCTGATTCGATTGCTGGATCGAATCATATTCTCTAGCAAAAATTTAGAATTCCCATTTCGTTCCTATTAGAGATTTAGGCAACCATCGGCTTAAAGGTGTGATTTTGTTCGCAAATGCAGATTCCAAGTTTACACAACAGGAGCTTCCAGCTTGCAAGCCCATCCTTACCCCTGGCTGGGTAAGATACCAGTCTCTTTGATCTTCCAAACATGAGGTTTCTGTAGAAACTTAGGCAATCAAATCTCCCATTTCTGCAGGTCATTTCGACGTTTTTGATAGTCAGTGTCATCTTTATACCTCTTGGAGTTATCTCCCTTTTCGCTTCCCAGGATGTAAGTGAGAACGAGAAACGACCCATTACTTATCATCAGATTCTCTTCCATAATCTCATGTGTTTCATCTCCGATTGTTAGGTTGTGGAGATCGTTTATCGGTATGATAATGATTGCATTCCAGAAACTGCTAGGGCTAACAAGGTTGCATATATTCAAGGAGATGGCGATAAAAATTGTACCCGAAATCTAAAAGTGAGTTCCTTATGCAGCAACATTATTTTCTTCTTTTGAGATTTACTTAGGTTCTGCATTTGTTGCTTACTTTCTCTTCTCTCCACCGGAATTCTTAGGTGCCAAAGCGTATGAAGCATCCTGTCTATGTTTATTACCAGCTTGAGAACTTCTACCAGAATCACCGAAGGTATATAACACCTGTTGATAACTTTGCTGTAGCATGATATAATTTCGCATTGGTATGTCACATTCATCGGGCAATATTTCTTCTTTGTATCGGGACAAAGTGTTAGTCCTAGAGTAGGCGTGTACAAGGACGATGTTTATATCTAACTTAGATTAGTCAAATTTTGTAGCTCTAATCGGTTGATGGTGTCTATGAAACAGGTATGTGAAAAGCCGAAGTGATTCACAGTTGAGAAGTCCAAAATACGAGAATCAAATAAGCGCATGCAAGCCTGAGGATGATGTTGGTGGGCAGCCGATCGTCCCCTGTGGTCTAATTGCTTGGAGTCTTTTCAATGACACATACATATTATCAAGAAATGATACACCCCTAGCTATAAACCAGAAGGGCATTGCATGGAAGAGCGACAAGGAACACAAGTTTGGGAAAAAGGTCTTCCCCAAGAATTTTCAGAAGGGGAATCTCACAGGTGGTGCCAGTCTAGATCCAGATATACCGGTAAACCCTTAAATACTAGAGATCGGTCCATGTTCCCATTGAAATCACTTGAATGCTTAGCAACTTGACTCTCTGACATCTTTCTTCCTGTTTTCTTGTGTGCAGCTTAGTGATCAGGAGCATCTCATTGTGTGGATGAGAACCGCAGCATTGCCGACATTTAGAAAATTGTATGGAAAGATAGAGACTGACCTCGAAATTAATGACACCATAACCGTTACGCTGCAGAACAACTACAACACTTACAGTTTTAGTGGGAAGAAGAAACTTGTTTTGTCGACAACGAGCTGGCTTGGTGGAAAGAACGATTTCCTCGGCATTGCATACCTGACAGTTGGCGGAATCTGCTTCTTTTTGGCCATTGCATTTACCATCATGTACCTTGTGAAACCCAGGTACCCACATCCTTCAAATGTAGTTGTTGTCGCGATGGTATATCTTCTATGCAGACCTGATTGTTGGATCGTCATTTATTTGCTTATATATTATAGTGTGTTCTTGCAGATCAATATAGCATTCAACCATTTATCTTAGACAGTAACAAATGTGTACTTTTGTTTCAGGCGACTTGGAGATCCTTCCTACTTGTCATGGAACAGAAACCCGGGCGGTCGGTAACAAGCTTGGAGAGCGAGAGAGCTCTACTCTGCGTTTGTAAATTTTATCAATCCATGTATACATCATACATTGCCCTCCTTGCTTGCAAAATGGTTCATTCGGTGAGAGCTTAAACCTCTCCACTTTATAATTTGTTTTTGTTCCAAAACCATTTTAATATGTTACTTTTGTCCCAAATCTGCCTTTGTTTTGTTTTTCTTGTAACCATACATAGATGTAGTTCGTGTATTATTAAATCTATAAAATCGTGACATTTCTTGCAACCATTACAATTTAAAATTTGGGTAATTAAACTACAAACCGCCTGCAAAACGTGTTGTAGCCAAAACTCAAAAGAGTTATCAAATCACCCGAAGGAGAAAATTGGAAAGATATTGGCCTTGAGGGTACGATGGGTCGAGTGGGTGATCAGACGCTGCTCCTGCCTCCCTCACCACTGTGATCTTCCTTCCCGCCATTGCAGCAGCGCTGTGAAGAATCCCCAAGAACTTTCCGCTCTGCGTTATCGCCCCTGAACATGAACATGTCATCAGAAGACCTCCACTTCTCGTTAATCGCATTGCCAACGAGTTGAGATTTCTGTACATCCCTGCTGCGTTTTGCAAAACCTGGCATCCACATTGATTGACACAATCTCATCTCTATAACAAGAAATTCTTAACATCCACCATATTTTGAGAAAGAAAAAAAAGTGTTCCCTCTTTATGTCACCTTTTTCCGCGGAGCTAGCTTAGGAGGGTCTAGGATCACGATGTCCCATGTCTCTTCCCTTGAGAGAGCACCCTTCATGAATTCTGTCGAATCTTGTTTGAAGAACACAACCTTCTCTGGATCCATATGGTTGAGGATTACATTCTCTCTGGCGAGCTCCAAAGCAGGTAAAGATGAATCAATTCCTGTAAAGTGCTTGATCAGACAATCCACAAGAAAATGCTTAAAGTTGGGATCAGGAAGAGGAGGAAAGAGAGAGATAAAACATACCCATGACACTGGTAGCGCCTCCTCTCGCTGCATTCAGTGCGAATCCACCACTATAGCAGCAAAGATCAAGAACTCTTTTACCATCAGAGATGGTTGATATGAAGTGACGGTTTTCGCGTTGATCAGTGTAGAATCCTGTCTTCTGTCCCTCTAGCGAGACTGCATAAGATATCCCATTTTCCACAACCTAGCATAAGAAAGATCATCACTAACCTCACACACTCTGTAATGTTTCCATAAACTCATAAAGATAGCAAAGCGAGCAAGACCACCCACCATACCATTGATCTCTGGGGAAGAGTAGATGATTGTGTTTGCTTCAAAGTTGAGACATCAAACCCATCTTCTTTAAGAACATCAAGAGAGGGTCTCCAATTGATATGATTAATCCCATGGATTGATCTTAAGCAAGCCTCCACTTGAGTCCTGTACTTTTCAAGCCAAGCAGCAGAGGATGCTACCACAGCTATATCTCCAAATACATCCACAATCAAACCAGACAATCTGCAGCAACGAGACAAGATACTCTATCAAACCAAACTAGAGTGAGAGTGCAAAATGAGAAAATTTCTTTAGATGAGTGAGTGAGTGAATAATACCTATCTCCTTCACTGTTGACAAGACGATAAGCATTAGTAGTAGCCGAGGGAAGTCCTAAACTATTACGCAACTGAAATGCTTCACCGATTCTAATTTCGAGAAGCTTCTCAATGTTCAACGCACAAGAAGGGTCTCTGCCACAACAAGATTCAATATGAATAAAGAAGCAAAAAAACAACAAGAGTATAGTAGAAAGAGACTTATAAAGAATGATAAGAACCTGGTGGATTCGTGTTGGAGCTGCATAAGGCGAACACAGAACATAGAGACTGAGTTATACAAACCCCAACCAATGGGATTCTCTGTACCATCTGCGACAATAACAACATCTCCGGTCTGAGGAGGAGGTTTTCCGATGATCCTGTCGACGGCTCCACTGTAAACCATTGGACTTCCGTCTTTGAAGAGCTGAGTCTTGCCCTTTTTAAGAACAACCTTAGCAACAACACTTGAATTCGAAGAAGCAATTAGGGAACAAGAGAGAAGGAGGCGGGAGGGAAGCTGGAGCAGACCCACCATTACCATCTTCCTCGCTAAGCCATTTCTTCGCTGCAAAAATCAACAATGGTGGATATGTACCTCTTAATGGGCCACATGTTATCTTTTATTGGGCCTGCATTTATCCATTCTACTTTTAGCCCAATATTAGATAGCCGTGTCGGTTAAGACAATGGGCTAGGCTTCTCTATTCAAAGTTCAAACC